TTAAAAGCTGATATATTGTTAGATGAATTATGGATTGACCTAAAACAACTGGAATTGTTTTAGGTCAATTGTGAACTTTGTTCTGAAAATATTGAAGGTTATAGAGATTGTAATTTTGAATAATATCATGCATATGAGAGTAACAATTGTGAAATAAATAGTCTTAAGGGGGAAACATCCTCCTGACCAGGAGGCTGAGGGGAATAGTTTACAGAGCTTCTATGGTCAGCAGGTAGAAAACAAATGTTTTTAAAACAAGATTCTTAAACCCTTCTAAATTCTAATTGTTATTTCTAGTCTTGCATTTTATGAAGTCCTTTTTAGGCTGAATATGTATGAGAGATAATTATAAAACCAGGTAGGAAAACCATTTAAATTTTACTAAACTTAGATTTTCTTATTTTAATTTATTGTGTATGCCAAGAAAAAAGGGCATTGTATGCAGTAACCTAAATTTTAGCTAGACTTTTGTATTTTTTTATTAGGGAGCTAATTTTGTACTTTTCCATTGTATTTGGAAAATTTTCCCCAATAACATGTTTTTTCAAGTTTTCAGTAACTTTAAGAAAAAATATTCTGTGCATTTTAAGGTATTTTTTAGAAAAGATATATGAAGTCTTTCTTCTTCCTTCTTAAGTCTGTTTCTTAGATACCGAAGCCCAGTTTTGAAACACGGGAATGAATAAAGCTATAGATCCTTTAAATATATTTGGTTTTGGTTTAGTTGTCCAGCCATAATTTTTAAAGCTGCTGGAAAAGACCTAACAGCACTTCCCAAATGTGAATGCTCTGTCACACTTCCCCAAAGCAAGCTATTTCAAACGAAATCTTCATTTTTCTGAAAGAATCATTTCTTTTTGTGTAGGAGTTAACCTTTTGTTATGTATTTAAGGCATTTTAAAAACTGTAAAACTGATTCTTGTTGAGAGAGAAATCTACATGGGTCATCAAGAAGGCTAAGGAGTTAAAATAATGGAGAAACTAAGGCAGCAGGACTGGTCTTGTTTATGGTTTTGTACTCTGATGGTATATTTCGTAGATGAATGGGAAACTGATAAGCCTTCAGATCAGAATTGGGAAATTGGTGCAAGGTCCAGCAAGGGTTAAAATATAAAAAGACAGGTCCAGTTTTCACCATCATCACTACCACCACCACCACCCTCAAAAGAAAAACAAAAATAAAACTGGTACAGTTGCCTCTAAAACTTGGAGACCTTGTTTTCCTTCCTTTGTAAGTTATTTTTCCTGAGGCAATCAGTTTGTAAAAAAAAATAAAATAAACCTTTGAAAATGAGAGGGATGGAAGACTAAAGGGGCTTTTATGCTTATTTTGGGCATAGTAGGAAAGTGGGAGATTCTTTAAGTGATAATATATAAAGAAGAGTGGTAAGTAGAGACCTTGGGGAGGCAGGATTGACATGGGGCATGAAGGGCGGGGCATTGTCTGACAAGGACAGAAGATACCCTGCGGATACCCTGCTCCTATGAATGTAGGTAGACACCAGGTGTTTCTGACAGTCTATTTGGACAATAGGAATGCGCCTCCCCATCCCTATTATGTTCTGCTGAGTTAACTTCTCTGAATGATTTCTGCCTTTGGTACTTAAGATGATCTACTCTTTAGTTCATTATTATGTTTGTTTTTTTGTGAGAGGATTCTAATGGTCACTGCTGGCATGCAAGTGAACCCATTTGAGTATTTCTTTAGTTATACATGACAGTAGAGTCGATTTTGATAAAATTTATGCATGCATGGAATTACCTTACTCTGATTAGGGACCCAGTCTTGCAAATACACATGATGGTGGGGTTAACTGTAGTGTATTCATATATGTACATAGGAAGGTTATGTCAGATTCTTTCTACTGTCTTACCTATTCCTGTTGCCTCCCTTCCCTTCATTCCCCTTTGTCTAATCCAATGAACTTTTATTCCCGCCCCCTCCCTTGTTGTGGTTTAGCTTCCACATATCAAAGGAAATATTTGTCCTTTGGTATTTTGTGATTGGCTTATTTTACTTAGCATGATAGTCTCCAGATCCATCCATTTACTGGCAAAGGTCATAGTTATTCTTCTTTATGGCGAACATTCCATTGTGTATATATAACAAAATTTCTTTATGCATTCACCTGTTGATGGGCATCTAGGTTAGCTCCATAGCTTAGTTCTTATGAATTTTTGCTGCTATAAATATTAGTGTGGCTGCATCACTGTAGTATACGAATTTTAAGTCCTTTGGGTATAAACCAGTGAGTGAGATAACTGGGTCAAATGGTGGTTCTATTCCATGTTTTCTGATGAATCTCCATACTGCTTTCCATATGGTTGTACCAATTTGCAGTCCCATCAGCAATGTATGACTGACTGTACCCTTTTCTCCATATCCTCACCAACATTTATTGTTACTTGTATTCTTGATAATTGCCATTCTGGTTGGAGTGAGTTGAAATCTCAGTGTAGTTTTAATTTGCATTTCTTTTAATTGCTAGAGATGTTTAACATTTTTTTTCATGTATTTGTTGACAGTTCATATTTCTTCTTTTGAGAAGTGTATTTAGTTCCTTTGCCCATTTATAGATTGGGTTATTATTTTTTGGGGGGTGTTTTTTGAGTTCTTTATATATCCTGGAGATTGATGATTTATCTGAGGTACAGGTGGCAGACATTTTCCCCCATTCTGTAGAGGGTCTCCATGCTCCTGATTGTTTCCTTTGCTATAAAGAAGCGTTTTAGTTTGATACCATCCCATTTATTGATTTTTTAATTTTACTTCTTGCACTTTAGGAATCTTGTTAAGGAAGTTGTTTCCTAAGCCTCCATGTTGGAGTGTTGGGCCTACGTTTCCTTCTAGTAGGTGCTGGGTTTCTGGCCTAATACCTAGGTCTTTGATCCACTTTGAGTTGAATTTTCTGCAGAGTGAGAGATAGCAGTTAAATTTCATTCTACTACATATGGATTCCCAGTTTTCCCAACTTTTGTTGAAGAGGCAATCTTTTCTCCAATGCATATTTTTGAAGCCTTTGTCTAGTATGAGTTAACTGTATTTATGTGGGTTTGTCTCTGTGTCTTCTATTCCGTTGGTCTTCTGCATGGATATTTCGAATGTTACTTTTAGTGGATTGATGGCCAGACATACTTAAGTATACTCAAGATTAGTTCCAGGACTTACCAGGGATACCAAAATCCAACCCTTATATAAATTGGGGTTATATTTGCATATAATCTATATATAAAATCCTACGTATTTAAAATTATCTATAGATTGCTTATACTAAATACAATGTAAATATGATATAAATAGTTGAGGGAATAATGACAAGATAAAAGTCTGTACATATACAGTACAGGTGCAGTTTTTTCCCCCAAGTAATTTCAATCCATGGTTAGTCAAATCCACAGATTTAAAATGCATAATGGGCATCCAGTAAGGTGGGAATTTACATGCTGGACATAATCAAAGATCAGAGGCGAAACAGGAAGGGATACTAGAGGTGGTGGTGAAGGTGGACACTTGGGTGCAGGTCAAAGAAGGTGTAAAGCAAAGTCACAATAATGCTAATGGATTGGGTGAAAATGAAGGGAGCTTGTGGCTAGATGTCATAATGAGAACATCATGGCCAGTTGGTTTAAAGCAAAAGGACAATAAGGAAGTTTGAAGTAGAGAAAAGGGGACATGGTTGTTCTGGAGAATTCCAGAAATTTTCAAGTGTAACTCTTTCAGGAAGTAGCTGAAATCTTAAATGATAAGGTCAGGACTGATGAAGAATCAGTAATATGATGGGGAAAATCCTGAAGATGATGATAAGGAAATTGTGTAAGAAGAAATAATATGTTAGGTTACTAGAATTTTTTAAAGAGTTAGAAATGTAGAGTGTAAAGTAGATGATGAGTGTAGGGAGAAGCTGATATATTATGTAAACTATTTATAAATGAGAGGTAAAGTGATGGTAGCAGTTAACTGGCCTTGTGTTTGCCCTGACAGACAAGAATAGACTGTCTCTTCTTCTTCGTTTGGTAAGAGGTAGAAAGAAGGTTAATAAAAAGACTATAGAAAAGATGAGATATTCTCTATCATAGGTCAGGTTTATATAGACAGTCTTTGAATATGAGAAGAGTAAAGCAGTAGATTGTTTCGGGTTGTAAAATGCAGCCCTCAAAAGTAGTTGATTTGTGTGCAGTTGTATAAATATTTCACTTCCTCTATTTTTTCCTGAATTTTTATTTGGCACTAGTACTTTTTACTGTATAAAGTTCATTTTTTTTGCAATAATGAAATTATTAATGGATAAATACTAAAAAAAACCTCTTTATTTAACTGTGAACATACACAAAAGTAACTTGGCACGTAATCTCTATTCAAAATATTAAAATTTTCTGGGTTAAGCTACCTGGTAACTAGTAGCTACGGATCACATGTGTATGATAGTGGCCTTTCCGTGACAACATTAATGTGAAGTCTGTATTGTACATGAAACTTTGTTATTTGGCATACAAAGAGGAACATAATGTATTCTGGCCTTAAATATATAATTTTTATTTTTCAATTATACCTCACTAAAGCTGAAAAAAAAACCAAGAACAAAGGAGTCACCAAGCCTCTGAAAGATGAAGAAAAAGCCCTAGGTAGTTGCTTTGTTATGTTTTTCTATATTAATGTGCAAGATAATTCTGATACATGGCATAATTGGGTAGTGTTTTCTGAAGGAAAAACTTTTTATGCTAAGGAAAAATATGGAAAGTAGCTAAAAGGTAAATTGCTAGAATTTTCTTTCACTGTATTACTTGCTATGCTTATAAAGGCCTCTTTATTTTGCCTGAAGTATTAAGACTATTTCCTGATACATGAAATCTTAAAGTACCTAAAACTTCCTTTTAAATAATTTTCAATAAATAACCTTTGGGAAGAATTATAAAGATAAACTTCTGTTGAATCATAAGAAGATAATGCCTTAATTATGTCATTTACTTTAATTTTTTTTTTGTTGCTGTGTTTTTCTCAGTTCCTATTGCAAAGAACATAGGAAAAACACAGTCTTCTTCTTCCAAAGCGGCCCAGCAGTCAATGCAGCCTCCACAGAAAACTGCTATAGTACAACCAACGCAGCAGGTCAAGAAATCAGGTCGAACTAAATCACCTGGACATACTTCAGTCTCCAAGAAGGGCAGTTCTCTTAAAAATCCCACACCAAAGAAAAAAGGCTCAGGAAAAAAGGTTAGTTGTATCTCCTGCTAATTTGTATTATAGGTCTCTGTAGTACCTTTTTATTTATAATACACAGTTTGGGAACTTACTAAGAATATGATGAAGCTCCTGAGCAATAAACCGAGGCTACATAAGGCTCTTTAAGGCCTTACATAGCTATTGAGAAATTGGTCTTTCTTATCTTGGGTAAATTTGAAACTTTTTATAATATTTTACTAATCAAATCATTTTGCAAGTAACTGCATGGGTATATTTATGTTTGGGCCAATTAATTAAAACGTAGTATACATTAAAATTAATATGAAGTGCATTTTACTGTAGATAAATTCAACCTCAGTAAACTGGTAGGAAGAAAGGGGATGTTTCAGGGTGATAAATTTAGTAATACTGGAGTTAAGTTCTACCTGATTACCCCAAAGAAAACATCTCTAAAACCTGAAAATAATAGAAAAAAGCAACTATGTAAAGACACTGGAGAGTTAATAGAAGCCTATACATTCTGATGGCAGGGGGCGCACTAACGTAGGAGGAGGACTGTTATACAAAATGAGTTTCTTTCTTCTTTTTTTTTTTTTAGTTTATAGGCTTGATTTAGGTGCACTTTGTACTTTGTGTAACATGTTAGGCAGCGCTGATGGTAGAAAATCCAGTTTATTTGGCCTGGGGAGACCAGAAGACAAAAGCTAGGAAAACTGGTTGCCAAAGAGCATGGACGGATATTGGAATGGAACAAGCTCAAGAGCAGATCCTTAAACTTTACCAGCATCTCTGACAAACCCCTGTTCCAAGCATGTGTGGGTCATACAGAGGCCACCTTAGCTAAAGCAAAAAATTTGCACTGAGGCTAGAGTTAGGCGCAAGACCAGAGTTTAAAATTCAATTCCAACAAAGATAATTACCAGCTAAAGCAAAAAAAAATTAAAAATAAAAATAATAATAATAATAATAACACTCGTCAGAAAAGAATAAAATCCAGAATCTGCACAAATTAACATTCATAGTGTCTGGTATACAATCCAAAATTAACCAGATTCAAAGACATACTATAGTGAAAACATTCGCAAGAGAAAAGAAAATCAACTGAGACAGACATCAGTATGACCCAAATGTTGGAACTTGGAAACAAGAATTTAAAATTGGGACTAAGGGGCTAGTTGGTGGCACATGCCTATAATCCCAACAGCTCAAGAGGCTGAGGCAGAAGGAGTGCAGGTTTTAAGCCAGTTTCAGCAATGTAGCAGGCTGTAAGCAACCTACTGAGACCTGTCTCAAAATAAAAAAAAAGGGATGGGGATGTTGCTTAGTGGTTAAGCACCCTTGTATTCAATCCTTGGTACTAAAAATAAAACTGGGACCAAGGGGAGGGAATGAGGTGTGTGTGGGGTGTCTGTTCATCAGCTTTTCATTACTGTAACCAAAATACCTGACAAGAAAAACTTAGAGGAGGAAAATTTTATTTGGGGCTCATGGTTCTCTCCAAGGTTAACTAACTCCATTGCTCTGGGCCCAAGATGATGGTAAAAGGGCATGGCAGAGGAAAGCTCCTCAGCTCATGACAGCCAAGAAACAGAACAAATGAGTGAGGAGCCAGGGACAAAATATTATTCCTGAGGGGCATGTCCCAAGTGACCTACTTCCTTCATCCATGTCCCATCTGCCTAGTCACCACCCAGTAATCCATTTAAATTATTAATTCTTCAAAGAGATTATTAATGTGCTGGTGAGATTATTGGTGTCGGAATCTAATGATTTTAACTGAATGTTACTGCATTGCCTAACTTGAGCTTTTGGGGCGGATATCTCTTGTCTAAATTTTAACAAGAGGTACTAGGGAATTAAATTGGCCAAACTGTTATGTGCTTTTGCAAATAATAGTGAATTTCACTATTATTCATAATCATAATGCACCAATAAAATCTTTCAAATACTTTAAAAATGGCAGTTTTAAAGCTGTCCTTGATAGATTTTAACATACATACTCTCTCTCTCTCTCACACACACACACACACACACAATTGCAGTGATTGAAAACATAGGCCACCTCCGCAGAGAAACGGAAAGAACATAAAGGAGCCAAATGAAAGTTTCAGGATCTGAAAATTCAATATCTAAAGTAAAAAGTTCAGAGACAGAAGTAACTAGAATTTATTAGATGTGACAGAAGAAAGAGTAAATGAACTGAAGAATAGAATAGAAATTATTTAATATGAAGAACTGAAACAAAATTTAAAAGATTGAGAAAGAAAACGGAGCCCTGGGGACCTTTTAGGTAACGTCAAAGGTGTAGCCCATATATAGTTGGAGCTCCAGGATGGGGAGGGAGACAGACAGACTGACTGCCCGGAGGAGAAAAAATATTGAAAAAAATCTCAAAATTTCACAGAAATATACAGCCATAAAAATCTCAACCAAGAATAAACAATAAAAATGAAGTCTACACCAAAGCATATAATAACTGTTGAAACCCACAGAGAGCAAGTCTTTTTTGTGTATGTGGTGTTGGGAATCAAACCTCGGGCCTTACACTTGCTAGACAAGTGCTATGCCACTGAGCTTTGTCTCCAACTCCAAATAACAAATTGTAAAGGCAGCAATGAAAAAAAACATGCAAAGAAACAAAAATTTGAACATCTGGCATTCTTCATCAAACACCATGGAAGCCCAGAAATTCTCTGTCAGAAATACTCTTCAAGGATGAAGGTAAACTTTGAATATACACAATTTTTATTTGTCAGTAAAGCAAAAGAGTCTTATAGTTGTACAGTTTTCTTTATATAATTCATACACATTTAGTTTATTCATGTCTATTTCTGCATATTTTTATGATTTTTGTTGCTATTGTGAAAAATATTTTTCTCATTATACTTTCCTATGAAACAAAGGCTATAAAAATATTGGTTTTAAAAAAGGATGAAGACTGGGTGCACGCCTATAATCCCAGTGGCTTAAGAGGCTGATGAGAAGGATACGGAGTTCAAAGCCAGCCTCAGTAAAAGTTTAGGCACTAAGCAACTCAGTGAGACCCTGTCTCTAAATAAAATACAAAAAAACAGGGCTGGGGATGTGGCTCTGTGGGCTACTGCCCCTGAATTCAATCCCTGGTACCCATCCTCATCCTCCCACCCGCCCCCTCCCCCCCCAAAAAAAGGATGAAGGGGCTGGGGTTGGGGTTGTTGCTCATTATAGAATACTTCCCTGGTACGTGTGAGGCACTAAGTTCAATCCTCAGCACCACATATGTCTATCTGTAACCAAACATTTTTTTTTTTTTTTTAAAAGCACGAAGGGATTGGGTTATGGTTCAGTGGTGGAGCACTTGCCTAGCACTTGTGAGGCATTAGGTGGTCCTCATCACCATATAAAATTAAATAAATGAATGGTATCATGTCCATGTACAACTAAAAAAATATTAAAAAAGATGAAGGTGAACTAAAGACATTTTCAGACAAAAGAATACTAAGAAAATTCATCACTGGCAAAGTAGCAGTATTAGAAATGCTAAAAGGAAGTTCAGCAGGCTGAAGGAAAATGAGACCAGATAGAAAACCCAGATCCTTAAAAAGGAATGAGTAGCTTTGAAAATGGTAATCTCTGGGTGAATGTGAATATTATTTTTTGTTTTTTACCCCTTCCTAATTTCTTTATAATTATATAATTATGACAATAATTATAGTCCTTTTCTGTTTATATCAAGCATAGGTATATACTACATAAAATAATTGTGATATAAACCCCTGAGGTGAGAGATATAGACAAAGTGGAATTCTGAGCAGTCACATAATCCCACAAAAGACAGGAAAGGAAGAACAAAAGGACAAGTCAAAGGAGACAAGTAGAAAACAAATAATAAAATAGTAGACCCAGACCGAAATGTAATAATAATTTTATTAAATTTGAACATCTGTAATTAAGAGATTTTCAAAATGGGTTATTTATTTTGCTGTACTAGTTGTTGAATCCAGGACCTTGCACATCCTAGGCAAGCGTTCTACCACTGAGCTGCATCTTTATTGCTTTATTTTAATGTTTATTTTTGAGATAGGGTCTCACTAAAGGTTACCCAGTCCAGCTTTGAACTTGCGATGTGCCTGCCTCAGCCCCCCAAGTAGCTGGAATTACAGACTTGTACAACCATGTCCAGCCTCAAGATGGATGTTTCTGGAAGACTCAAATATATCCTGTGTAGAGATGAACTCTAAATATAAATAAAAGCTCTATTGAGGCTGAGTATTTCAGCAGCATTCCTTAGACATTTTGGCATTTTTGTTTTGTTTCAACTAATATTTGTTGTATGGAACAAAATGGCAGTATCATCTTTATGTTAAGGTGTTTATATTGATATTTGTATTTTTATTTGAAAATCAAAGTTTATAAAATAAAAATCAAAAGTCACTAAAACTAAATATTATGTTCTCCATTATTACCTTTTCTAGGCACACAAATCCCTTTTCTGATATCAGAGAATAGTGTTTGAAAGTAGTTCCTAGAACCCTGGAAGTTGATGTAAAAGAAACAGAATACTAATCATGTTTAATAGTGCTCAGGAAACTGATTACTATATGCAATAGGCATAATTTTGTATGGACTTAAGCAAACCATTTGTAATTTTGTCAAAATTATTGACATATAAAGTATGGAGAAATGTAGACTAGACACAATGGGGGTAAGCAACTGCTTTCTAAGGTTTTGTGCCTTGCTGAAGACTTTTCCTATGGGAAAGATATTTTAATCAGCCTTTTCGCTACTGTGACTAAAAGACCAGAACAATTGTAGAGGTGGAAAAGTTATTTGGGGGCTCATGGTTTTTGAGGTCTCAATCTATAGATGGCTGGTTACATTCCTTGAGGCTCATAGCAGAAGAGTGTGGCAGAAGGAAGCAGCTCACTCACGTGATGATCAGGAAGCAGAGAGACTTCACTTGCCAGATTCAAAATATATACCCCCAAAGCCATGCATACCCTGGATGCCCACCTATCCAGCCACACCCTACCCATGTTCAATTACACTCAGTTAATCCCCACCAGGAGATTAATTCACTGATTGGGTAAAGGATTGGTAAATAACCCAATCATTTCTCTGAACCTTCTTTGCATTGTCTCACACATGAGCTTTTGGGGCACACCTCACAATCAAACCATAACAAAAGAGATTTAGAGACTTTTCTTTCAGAGTATTAAAAAACTTGTCTTACAGGGCACCTTAAAAAATAAACAGGTTTTACAGAGTGAACTAATTTGACTAAGGTATGTTAAGTTGGAGCAGAGGGTAGGGTGGAGAATCCTAGCCTCTTGTTCTCTTTGCCCCGACCTGGACAGCTTGTGGGTCTCTGGGGAACTTAGTTTTAGAAAGCACTGCAGTTCATGATGCACAGAAGGGTATCCAATCTTGAGGACTTCTGATAACTGATAATTTTGTGAGCCTATAGTTTTCTTTCTGTTATCTAGTAATTTGTAAAAGAATAATTTATATTTTGTATATATATTTTTTAATACAGGAGAAATGTATTCCTGTGTTGTGTTCAACATCTTCAGCTTCTCTAAGTTCTCTGTCCAGAAACCGTGGTAGTTCATATGATACGGATGCCATTCCTGGGACATCTAAAATAGTGATGTCTACAGGTAAATTAAAATTTTTAAATGAGTTATAAAATTACCTTTTATTCTGTATTATTTCCAATGTCTTTGAAGTCCTGGAAATAAGAAGAAGACTGTTCACATGTATGGAAATTGTGCTATATACATTAATGGGTTAAAAATAATCTACTTCTTGGGCTGGGGTTGTAGCTCATTGGTAGAGTGCTTGCCTAACGTGAGACACTGGGTTCGATCCTCAATACCACACAAAAATAAAATAAAGGTATTGTGTCCATCTACAACTAAAAATATATATATAAAAAATCTACTTCCTGATTTAGGAGGACAATAGGTTTTTTTTTTTTTTTTAATATTTTTTAGTTGTAGGGGCTGGGATTGTGGCTCAGTGGTAGAATGCTTGCCTCGAATGTGTGAGGCACTGGGTTCGATCCTTAGCACCACATAAGAATAAATAAATAAATAATAAAGGTATTATGTCCATCTACAATTTAAAAATATTTTTAAAAAATATTCCTTATGTGGTGCTGAGGAACGAACCCAGTGCCTCACTCGTGTTAGGCAAGTGCTCTACCACTGAACCACAATCTCAGCCCCAGGACAATAGTTTTTTTTTTTTTTTTTTAAATATTTATTCTTAAGTTTAGATGGACACAGTATCCTTATTTTACATTTATGTGGTGCTAAGGCTCGAACCCAGTGCCTCATGCATGCTAGGTGAGCGCTCTACCACTGAGCTACATCCCCAGCCCCAGGACAATAGTTTTGATAATGAGCTACCATCATGTTTTTACAGAATATGTTGACTCATTTTTTATTCTCATAAAAATTATTGAAACTTGAAATTTGTATGATTATAGATAGATTACTTATATATCCTGTTTTTATTATACTAAGGAAAGTTTATTTTAAATTATTTTTCAGCCAACCTTGTCTCATATAAAGGAATGTTTTGTTTTTTTAATTAACAAAATAAATTTCTCTTTGTCATTAGAACTTATTGTGACATATTCCTTACATTATTTATTTATTTATTATTATACATATTCCTTACATTACTTCAGAAAATACAATTGAAGTGCAATGTTGATAATTTAAAATAAATTCGGTCTGAAAGGGATGTGTTCAAAATAATCAGTTTTGTAAAGAAATTCTTAAATTTTATGTGAAATTACAATAGAAAAATATCTTTTTGTGGTGCTGGGGACTGAACTCAGGGCCTTATGCATGCTAGACAAGCACTCTACCAACTGAGCTATAACCCTAGCCCTCGCCTTTTTTTTTTTTAAACACCAGGGATTGAAATCAAGTTCACTCCACCACTGAGCCACATCCCCAGCCCTGTTTTGTATTTTATTTCGAGTCAGGGTCTCACTGAGTTGCATAGCACCTCGCTATTGCTGAGGTTGGCTTTGAACTCACGATCCTTCTGCCTCAGCCTCCCAAGCTCTGGGATTACAGGCGTGTGCCACCATGCCCAGCCAATAGAAAAATATTATCTTTGTACCATTTTATATAATATAGGAATGTATGAAGAATTGTTTTTGGATGCTCCTAACATTTTTATTAATTTGGGCAAACTTCTAAATTGAGTAAATATTCTGATTATTTTTTTATATGTTTAATGCCTACACACATATATTTATTTATGTATTTTACTAGAAAAGATCATTGATATTAACTCTATTTAAGTTCTCTTTGAAGTGACTCATGGGATATAGTAATTATGTACTGTTTTTACAAAGTTCTTTTTAATAATCAGTCTCATTGTTTTATCTGTATACACATTTCCCCTCAAGTCTGTGTCTATATAAACAAACATGGAAACTGTGGTCCACACCTGGATCCGAAGAGAATCCAGCAGCTACCTGACCACTTTGGCCCAGGCCCTGTAAATGTGGTGCTCCGTCGGACTGTGCAGGCCTGTGTGGATTGTGCCTTTCAGTCTAAGACTGTTTTTGGATATCTTAAGCCAGATAATCGTGGAGGAGAAGTGATAACTGGTATACTAATTTAATTCTTTATTTACAGTTTCTTTTCCAAATTTAATTTTGTTTAGAGACTAGGATTTTGTAACAGACTATTTATAATATTTATATTCTATTATACTATGTAATTATTACACTGATATAATGGAATATGTGTAATGATTATATATTTATAGACTTCTTACTGTGGTTTGGAAAGTTTACTTTCAAAATACAAACAATGTCACAGTGATACTTGGTAAAAGATAAGATTTTTCCTTTTATATGTCTGTGTTGATAAGTTCCCTACAAACCGAGTGTCTTGATTGATGACAGTATCTTAGTTGTAATTTGTATGGAAAACAGTTTGATCTGTCATAAAGAAGCTTTAAACAAAAATATGACTCAAGAACTCATGAAGAGAAAAGATACAGCTTGTGGTTTCCATGATTGTTTGATCAGATACCACAACAGATAGCATGGAATGTTTGGAATAGAAGGAAGTGTTGTTGTAGATCAAAATATTTGTTTTTATTTACTTTATGAATATTTTAAAATAAGATTTTTTTTTACTAATGCAGGCTGTTGTGTTTGAGAGAAACTTTCATAACTTATAATTATTCCTTTATGAATTGATAAAACTTTCGAATTAATAGTATATTTCCTAAGTTGATAGGAAATGACTGACATCTTTTTTCCCCCTCTAATAAATAGCCTCTTTTGATGGGGAAACTCATTCCATTCAGCTTCCTCCTGTGAATAGTGCATCATTTGCTCTTCGCTTTCTTGAGACTTTCTGCCACAGCCTGCAGTGTGATAACCTTTTGAGCAGCCAGCCTTTCAGCTCCTATAAAAGGAATATTCATAGCCCTACAGAGCTTGATAAAGATAAATCAGGTGAGAGAAAATAATGTAAATTTTTATACTAGTATTTTATATGGTATGCTTAACTTAAGCAAGTGTGTAATTCAGTTTTTTTTGTCTCCTCAAACATTTTAGTCAAAAACAAGCTAATTGGAAATGTATAATATATAGTTATTTTTGTTCATTAAATGTGAGAAAGTAATTCCTTTTGATGTGAACTTAAGAATCAGAGTCAATGGGTTTTAATGTTTAGCTTCTTTGGTTACACATTTTCTATTAGATTGAAGTTATTGACTTTAATCCTAAGAAACTATAGAACCAACCTAGGTGCCTTTCAACAGATGAATGAATAAAGAAAATGTGGTATATATACACAATGAAATATTATTCATCCATAAAGAAGAATGACTTTATGACTTTTGCTGTTATATGGATGACTCTGGAGACTATCATGCTAAGGGAAATAAGCCAATCCCAAACAACCAAAGGTTGAATGTTCTTTCTAACATATGGGTGCTAGCACACAACAAGGGGAGTGGAGAGAAAGAATAGATATTCAGTGGAGTAGATAAAGGGGAATAAAAGGAAGGGAGTGGGGATAGGAATAAGAAAGAGTGGGATGAATCTGATATAACTTTCCTATGTACATACATGAATATACCACTGTGAATCTCCACATATGTACATCCATAAGACTAGAATCCTAATTAGAATAAGATATATTCCATGTTTGTATAAATAGGTCAAAATTGACTCTGCTGTCATGTTTAACTAAAATGAACAAATAAAAGGATTTTTTTTAAAAAAAAGAATGATCTTGGTCTGGGGATGTGGCTCAAGCGGTAGCGTGCTCACGTGGCATGTGCAGGGCTCTGGGTTCAATCCTCAGCACCACATAAAAATAAAAAATAAAGTTGTTGTGTCCACCGAAAACTAAAAAATAAATACTAAAAAAATTCTCTCTCAAAAAAAAAAAAAAAAAAAAAGAACGATCTGCTTGAATTTAACATTTGAGCCTGGGCTGCCTCTCTCTCTTCCATAAGAATCACAAACTGATTCCTGAATAAGAACATGGCTGTAAAGTAGTCCTTTAGTCTCAGAGGCAGGTTTTCTGTTTCTGATCCCTAAAGTAATTAAGCTCTTCTGGGCTGGGGTGGTAGCACAGTGGTAGAGTGCTTACCTAGCATGTGTGAGACACTGGGTTTGATCCTTAGCACCACATTAAAAATAAATAAATAAATAAAAATAAAAGGCCCATAAACAACTAAAAAAAAAGAGAGAGAGAAAAAGCCCTTCTGAGCCTTTTGGCAACTGTTCTTTGTTCTTTTTCATCGGACTCATGAAAGCCAACCATGCTCTGCTGATTTGAGAAGGATTTTATGTATGTCTTCTAAGAGCAGCTGAAGTTCTCAAGTATTGAAGCTACAAGGTTTTCCAACCAGGTGCTGGAAATTCGGGGAATATAGAGTACCATACCAGGGATTTAAATTTGCATTCCATTTGTGTGTGAAGCTTGGGTGCTGTCTTAAGTTACTCTTCTATTTTTGGTCCTACTGGTTATTCACACTTTGTTCATAAACCTTGTCTTCTTCTACTTCAGTGAAGTCTGTCATATCTGTTCCTTGCTTTCCATTTATTTGTCTCTATCCTCCTTCAGAACCCTGTTAAACCCCTTCTGCATTATTAAAGCAGTATCCTAATGGAAGTCCTATTTCCAGTTTCTTGCCACTTATGTAACTGCCCAATGAATTCCTTGAAACAAATATATGATACTGCAAAGTCCTAGCAGAAGTACACCTAGTGAAATGGAAATTGGAAAAGGCACAAGTATTGGAATTTGGCAGAACTAGATTCCATTACTTACACTATAATGTATGTCCTGAAAGGGCATACAATTTGACAGGCCTAAATTTTAATCTTAAATTGTGCTGTTAATTAGCCATGTGCTCATGGACAAAGTATGTATGGAGCCTCTATTTTCTAAGCCTCTATTTCCCTGTCTGCAAAGTGGATACCTCTTAAGTTGTGAGAGAAAGGATATGTGAACTCTTAGCCTGTGTTATATGACATGGGGATAGGAACAATAAAATGTAGCTGCCAAGAAGAAGAATGAAGGTTCATGATCTCATGTGATCTCATCCTTTCTTCTTCCAAGGAGTTAAGAGAACTGGAAAGATGGCCAGAAAGGGAATGATTACCTGATAGGTTTTCTGATTCGAAGAGTAATTTGGGACAGAAAAAAACCTTGAGTTAGAGGAGTTGTGAGTACCATTTTCTTGGGGCTGGGGCTGTAGCTCAGTGGCAGAGTGCTTATCTAGCACGTGTGAGGAAATGGGTCGGATCCTTAACATCACATAAAAATCAACAAATAAAATAAAGGCATACTATTCATCTACAATTACCAAAAAAAATGAGTACTATTTCATGATTTTTTTTTACACAGAGCGTTAAAAACAATGGCAATGATTTACACACTGAAAGATTTTTGAAAATTCTTTGATAGATTGTAAATAGAGTATGTTTTTTTCTTTTAAAATTAAGCACAGAATGTTTGAATTTCAGATTACTCAGATAACTGGGATAAGCTGGAAATGGTGATGCATGTCTGTAATCCCAGCAACTCGGAAAACCGAGGCAGGAGGATTACAAATTCATGGCCAGCCTCAGCAATTTAGTGTGAAGCTCTAAGGACTTACTAAGACCCTGTCTCAAAATAACACACAGAAAAGTTGGAGATGTGGCTCAGTGGTTAAGCAACCCTGAGTTCAATCCCTGGGACAATTAGATTACTATTTGACAGAATACACTAAGTAATCATAAATAATACTGTTTTGTTTTATATAATTTTTTCTTAGATGGACACAATACTTTCATTGATTTATTTTTATGTGGTGCTGAGGATCAAACCCAGTGCCTCACAAGTGCGAGGCAAGTGCTCTACCACTGAGCTATAATCCCAGACCAAATAATACTATTTTTAATTATTTAATCTCAATTTCCTTTCACAGAAAGCTTGATTCAGCTATTTGAAAAAGAACTTGAACAACACCTTTGTTAGTTTTTCTAATTAGCTTGCAATTAAAGAAGTTGAATACATTATATTGTAAATTTGATTTGTTTTTTTCCTAAGATTTCATGTATAATATTCCATTTATCTTACATTTAGGTGACTCAAAAATATTTTGGAAGGAAATACTCTTCTTAGGAGATATTATTTTGACAAGTCCCGTGTTTGCATATTTTAGTAAAGTCATTTTAAAGACATTTTACTATGAAATGTCTGGAGAAAAATTACAGATGGAGGAAGGGGCTGGGGCTCAGTGGTAGCACTTGCCTGGCATGTGTGAGGCACTGGGTTCAATTCTCAGTACCATATATAAATAAATAAAATGAAGGTCTATCAACAACTAAAAACTATATTCAAAAAAAATTACAGATGAAATATAGCTTAATGTTCACAAAGTGAAGAATACATTGATAAAGGACCCTCTCCGTTCAATTCCTAGTACCAAAAAAAAAAAAAAAAGTGGGGGGTGGGGATTGCTTACTTGATACTTGTACTAATTATGTCTATTCGTATTTCCTCTTTTTTTCTTGAGTCAGGTTTGGTAGTTTCTGTTTTTTGAAATTTGTCCATATCACCTACATCATCTTATTTGTTGGCATACAGTTGTTCATGGTATTTCCTTATGTATATTTTTATTTCCGTAAAGTTTATAATGATGTCTTCACTTTCATTTCTGATTTTTATAATTTTGAGTCTTCAGTTTTAATCTGTTCGTCAGTATAGCTAAAACCTTGTCAGTCTTGATCTTTTTCAAAAAATCAACTTTTGATTTCATTGATTATTTTTTCACTCTTTCTCTGCTCTTTATTAATCTTCCCTTTTCTGCTTTAATTTAGTTTGCTCTTGATTTCTAGTTTTTTAAGGTGAAAGGCTTAGATTAAGACTTGAGCTCTTTCATCTGTTGTAATATGGTTATTTATAAATTTCCCTCTTAGCACAAATTTAGCTATATTCTATCAATTTTGATGTTGTTTTTGTTTTCATTTATCTTTAAAGTATTTTTCTAATTTTATTTTTGATTAATTTTTTGACTTAATTGCTTACTTAGAAATATTTGTTTAATTTCTACATATTTGTAAGTTTTCCACATTTCTTTTTATTACTGATTTCAGTTGTTTCCATTGTGGTTAGAGAATATACTTTGTATAATTTCAGTATTTATAAATTTGTTAGGACTTGTTTTATGGCCCAGCATATGTATTCCCTGTCATGCTTTAAAATGTTCCAGGTACACTTTAGAAGACTGTGTATTCTGCTCTATTTGGTTAGTAGTAGTTTTTGGTTTTTTTTGAGTATCAGGTCTAATTGGTTTATACTCCTTGGTCTTCATATCCTAGGACTCTCAATTGCTCCCCTCTGGGTAATGGAAGGAGGTAAAAGGAGGGGTGAATTGAATTATCCTCAGTACACAAGATCCAGACCAGAATTGGGCCAGTTTAGCATAGTTGGCCCTTGTACATACCCAGTGTAGTCTACCTGGGACTTGCCATTTGATTTCTATGGCAGCATTGTCCCAGGCCTGTTTGAGGTTAGAGAAATTTGACATTGGGGGTGAGGATTCCGTTCTGTGATTTGAGGATCCCCACCACTGGTTTTTCTGGGTAGTTACATTATAGAATTTTTGACCCAGACATGTTCCAACTGAGATGTTAAACTGTTTTCTCTTTCAGGCAAGATGATATTTTCCAATAATTGAGATTTTGGAACCAAACACCAGTATTTGAATGGGGAGACATTGTTCCATTATAGGGCTCATGGGGGTCTGATTCTTTAGCCTCCCCTGACCATTGACAGCCCCCCCCCCCCAATGCCAATATTAGTTCCTCCACACACATAGCAAGAAGAGACATTCAGACATTGAATTATAGTCTCTGCCAAGGTTAGGAATAGGTTTCTGGTTGTGGTGGAGATACAAGGTGGGCTTTTTTCCTAATTTCTCATAAAAGAAATGAGGACTGGAGTTATG